ACTGACCGAAGCAGCACAATGTAACTCGCATTTACTCGCGCTGTACGCCTACTTCTAAAGGCATCCTGGCTCAAAAATATCAGGGTACAGTTTTGGTGGTGGGTAACCTTGCTTGTTAGTCTAGCCATCAAACCCTCGTTCATTTCTGTCATTAAATCGTCAATAACTAGTAAACAATTTCTAAGGTTCCGAACGACCTCCTCAGTGGGTGGTCCCTCAATAATTTCTAAACCGGGAATCCCCTGCGCCTTTTCACGAAGCATGCGACTATTAGAACCCGTAAAATACAAAATTTTTTGAATTTGCTCCGAATTCTTAAACAAATTCGCATAATTGCGCAAAAACTTCAAAGTCCAGGTGGTTTTACCCCCAAGGCTCTGACAAAATGTAAAAATTGAGCAGGGATGGATAAATTTGAAAGGTTCCATTCTTGCGGAGGTGTGTGTAGTGAACGTTTTATACTAGGAAACTTTTCCCTAGGAACTCCCCCCCTAGGGTTGGGACCCCCGGGTTTTTTGGGCCCCCTCCCTCTAAGGTCGGCCCTTTGGGTTTTGTTAGGACCCCCCGACCTCTAAGGTCGGCCCTGGGGTTTTGGGACCCCTGGGGTTTTTGGGTTTTTGGGTTCCCCCCCCTCGGGTCCTTCGACCCGCCCTCCCCCCTCCCCTTCATTACTTGAAAAGCATTTTTATTCGAGTAAACAGCCAAAGGGGATTACTGAAAAGTTTGGCAAAATTTGGCCTCCGGTTAGTCGCGCAAGGTATTTCTTAGTTTGGAGGACAGTGCCTACTTCACCGAATCGTTTTTTGATTTGGGGCCCGGAAAATAGGATCGGATCACCGGTATTGCCCATTATCAGATTTTCCACCTGCCTATCCATATTTTGGAACGTCGCAAGGTGTTGGTTACTGGAATTTTGCGAAATACCTCGCAATTTTACCATTTCTTTCTTATCAACAACATTGCCTTTGGCATCAAATTTTGCCAAACTCAAACAGTACTGTTTCCCACCTCCACTCACAAAATTTACAATTCGATACCCATCATCCATTTCATCCTTTAGTTGTCCCAAATTTTCGCCGGCATTCTTTGCGAGGAAGGCTTGGTGCTGGGGATCGTCATCTCGCGCTATCCAGATGCATGAATCGCTGTCCGAGTATAAAATCTACGGTCGGTTGGGGGGTTGTTGGGTGACGACTTACTCTATCATGTCCTAGCTCGAGTAGCCATTTGGTGAGTCGAATTCTTCCATATGAAGTTGTCAAGCAAGCAATAGGTAGGCTTCCTAAAAACACCCTACGCCGGGAGGTTTTTTAAATACCGAACGGTGCAGAATGAATCCAATCCTTGTGTTTTCGGTGCGTGAACAGCCAAATTGGTGATTCCCCGTCCGCATAAATTTTGTCGTATGTAATTTCGAGGGTTGGATCGTTCCAAATCTCTTCTACAGCTTTCTGCGTGTCCGCAAACGTCACCGTGGATCGATCGGCCTTTAGACCGCAGCGACCCCACTAAAAATTTTGGGATATTAATTTTCTCACTTACCAGATTTACGAGGCATGCTTTCGCCATAAAGCGTTTCCCTTTATTTGGTCTATCAAGAGCATCCCGGTCCAACGAGATTCCGTGCAGAGATTCAAATTTCTTCAAAAAATCAGCCCGTTCCGTTTCTGTTTTACAGCTGGAAGGCCATCCGCTGGCCTCGAATTTTAGTTTTAAAAATAGTTGCATATAGCTTGAGAAGAGTCCATTTTTTGGTATAATCTTCCAGTCTGGATCGGCTTCGGTCCAATTTTTCCAGTGCCAGATTTCGATGGCTGTCACAATTTTATATCCTTGTTCTAAGGCTAGCTCTAGTTCAAATGAAGTCCAAATATCTCTAATTTGGCGCTGAGCTGGGGAGTGCGTGCATGCAACATAGCCTACATTTAAGCCATTTGCGCACCGTTCGCGCATACACGAATAGCATAACGTGTAAATCATTTGCTTATTGTAGCTTATTGGCAAAATGGCAATCTTCAAATTTTGTGGTGGCAGGACCGTGCAATAATACAGACCCTGATATTTTAATTTTGGGGTACCCTCAATTACGGTTGTTTCATTTTTAGGGGGGAATATGACTTCGGGTTCCCCTATTGGGAATGCTGAAAAAGCCCCAACTGCCGCATATAACGAAACTGCATCAAAATAGTGAATAAATTCCCCCACTTTTAGGTTTACGCGCATGCGGAAGGTTTGGGTGCGCCCACCGCGGAAACCTTTGCGTGGTATCAGATTTCCTACAAACTCGTAGTTTTTTATAAACTGGCCCATTTCCTTGTTTTCCTTACACATTTTCTTAATTTCACACTCCCAAACAATAATGACTTCAAAACCTTCATCTTCTAGCTCATCTTTTCGTAAAGTGGTATATGCATAGAGTTCCTCCATGGTTTTTCCAGAATAGGGGCTAAGAAGTTTGCGATTCGTTATGCACGGACACCCGTGAAAAACGCATCCATTAATCTCATACGCTATGCGTCTGCCATCTTCAAGCTCACGAAATCCGTCTAGTTTAAAGGTTCTGCCTGATTTGGTTTTTACTACTTTCTCTCCTCCAAACGTTGCCCTCTGGATTTTAATATTTTGTTCCTGCTCCAGCCAGGCAAGGTATTTTTGGCTAATTGGGGAAACTCGGTGCGGTGAGAGGCCATACTCGGGGATAACCGCTATTGGATAGTCGGGATTATGAAAATTATAGCGAAAAGTCGTGAGGCAAGTCGAGGCTAATGTGGTCTCTTGCTGCAAAGGATCAAAATTGGCTGCTTCGATAAAAAATTTTCTAAATTTCATCATCCCCATCATCAAAACTAAGCTATCGCTTTTGCAGTATTGTTCCACTTCTTGTTCCCATATGAAAGGTATTCCCTGGTCCTTTTTTTCTCTCAAGAAAATTTCCAATTCTTTTAGCTTTTTAGTAGACATGGTATCAGCGCCGAAATATTTTGGATGGGGCCAATCCCTTGAAGCTTTTTGCTCGTTACTAAGGAATAATGGACAAAAACCCTTTTTTTCGGGCAGATCAAAGCAAGATGCATATTGACTTAGAGGGATCGACGCAAAGTTTCTGCTATCTAGAAATACTATCCTATTCACAAAGGAATATTTTTTCGTTGGGGCATCCAACCATTTGTCGCTTGGAGATGTTCTATTTTTAATATTTTTTAGCATTTTTTGCCTAGGCCTTACAAAAGTCATTCGCAAAATCTTTTGGCCAGTAAATATAACATCGGGTATAATACCTAATTTGAGGGCATGCTTCAAAATCCATTGAGTATCATAGGAACCCCCGTTTTGAGCAATGCAAGTGTACCCGTCATTTTCTTGGTCAAACAAGAGGTACCGGCAGAAACGTTCGATTAGTTCATCGGGATTTTGCTCGGGGTCGGGTTTCCATAAGATTACATCTCGGATCCCGCATTGAGGGCAATGACTACGCTGGGCATTCCCCTTTGTTATAATGTTGTTGGGGAGAAGATTTACTGGGGCGCATAAATTGCAAATTTTGTAAAAAGAAATTAAATTAACTGTATGTTTGCTACGCCAAATAAAGTCCCCATTTTCATCATGCCTAACGCAGTCAGTCTCGAAATCAAAGAAGAGAAAACGAAAGGTGCAAGCGTTTACAAGGGCTTGGTTTCTACGCTTGGCGCCAACCGCAGCCCAGGAACATTTATGGGATAGGGGTTTGTCTTCTCTACACTTTCCGCAAAATTTTGTGAAGCATACATGTTTCTTGAAAAGAGTTTTCCTAACCTCCTCATCGCAGTCAATACATCTAATAATGCGAGAGGCGCATTTACCTTTCTTTAGATGGTTTTTGAAACATTTGGAATTTGGGAATAACCTTTTGCATGTCAAACAAGAAGTTTCCTCCCCCGGTATGGTACTACAATTTCTGTCTTCCTTTTGGCATTTGAGACATGCCATTAAACAAGACGTGTGTGCCGAAGCACCGTTCTTTAGAGCGCCACAGCGTGGGCAACAAAATCTTAGGCATACCCTATCTACCCCATTGAATACAGAACCCACTGTGAAAAAAGGAGTATAGTGATTTTCGGAATAGAGTATTTTTAGAATTGGTAATCGTGAATTTGTTGGTGAAAACATCATGCCGCCATTATTGTCATAAATGGCTATCCTATATTTTTCCTGCAAGAATTTCTGCATTATGCTAGCGTCTCGAAGGCTGGATGGCCTGGCATTTTTCGGATCAAATTTTTTAAACGCTTTGTTTGCTAGCTCCAAAGCCTTCAAATTTGCGTATTTCCAATTCAAGCAAATCTCATTAAACTCCTTTTCATAGTTTTCATACAATATCTTTTCGCAAGCTTTTTTCTTATGATACAAAAGTTCTAGCTCCGCATTAGCTATGGCTCTCACTATTGCTCGGAACAGGCATAAATTATCTGGGATTGGGGGTTCAGAAAATAAAATATTAGTTTTATCGCGCCTTCCGCCCCCCTGTATTGGTGGTTTAATGTTTACGATGATGCGCATAGTTTCGTCTAAGGTATAACTCTCGTTGCTCTGAGCCATTTTTTCAAAAGCGGTAAAAAGCGCATTACTGTCGTTCATAGCTCTGGTCCTAGGGGGAAGGTAGCAACCTTTTTTGCCTGCCTCTTGCATCGACTTGTGTTCTAAGCTAACAGAAAACTTCACCTGGTCTAGATCTACGTCCATCTCCTTTTTAAAATCTTCCAAAATTTTGTCTAAAGCATTTTGAACAGTTTTCTCTAGCAATCCCAACTCAATTTGCCCTTTAAGATTTTTTAATAGAATTTCGGTTTCATAAGTCATAGAATTGAATTTTTTATGATGAGTCTTTTCAAAAGTTTTTGTTTCAAAATTAGTCAATTGATCGCGTGTATAATTAATGTCCGCTTCTCGAGCGGTTAGAACCCAGTCACCCCCGTAACCTATCTGTGTACCCTCAGGAGATTTTGAAAGTTCTTCAGACGGTGATGGGGAGTAATCCACCAAAGGTGAAGAGTCACCCCATCCTGGAGTTGGAGACTGTCCATCCGACCATGGCGGTGAAGCGGGACCATCCGGAGATGGTGGTGATGCGGTGCCGTCCAGAGATGGCGGTGAAGCGGGACCATCCGGAGATGGTGGTGAAGCGGAGAGTTCCGGAGATGGTGATGGAGAGTAGTCTACCAAACGCGGCCCTCCTTCCAATTTACTACGTTTTTTTGATGGTTCTTTCTCGTTCATTGTTCTCGGGGTTCTGCCAAGCCTAAAATAAATTTTTATTTGGGAAGGGTCGTAGGCATTATTGTAAAAACATGAGCCGTAAAAATAAATGCAGATGTTTGAGGATGGGTTTGCCGAGGTTTTTTAAAGTAGGAGCAGGAGCAGGAGCGGAAGTAAAGTAGGAGCAGCAGGAGCGGAAGTAAAGTAGGAGCAGGAGCTGGAGCGGGAGCAGAGTTTGGAAATAACCTCGAAAGAATGGGGGCCTTTGGAAAAAGTAGTGTGCTGTGCGAGGCTTGCTCCTGCTTTATAAAGACCTCGGCATTTCCTGTTTTCCTCGAACTCAGTGTGCCTTGGGAGGTCATTTTGCCCGGCAGCACAGAGAATGACATTTTTGTCATCGAAGCATGTCGGAATCTGTCAAAATCCGTGTTCGTCGCATCGGGGTACTAGTTTCAGGGCTGTCTGCCGGGCGCCTCGGAACTCCGTGTACTCTGCGGCGCAGCGAGCCCAGAGAACGTTCACTTTGGTGAGCGGCGAACGGGCGCCTCAGAACTCAGTGTACTCTGCGGCGCAGCGAGCCCAGAGAACGTTCACTTTGGTGAGCGGTGAACGGGGGAGACTCGTTTTGGGAGCCGGGCATTCTGGGTATAAAAGAGCTGAGCGCCCGTGAACGGGCATTTGCCAAATTTGGCAGAGCCCTCTGGGAACTAATCCCAGTGGGAGTATGTAAAATACACTGTAGCAATTCAGAACCAACTCCCATAGGGGTCCTTGAGAATAATTACACGCAGTGGGAATATACCAAAAATAAAGTCATCAAGTTATTATAAAATAAACAAGTGACATATAGTAGTATCGTATTTCTTTTTAACTTACCCTACCAAGATCTATTGTTTGATTTCGAACCCCCAGCAAATGGTTTTTCAATGAAACACTTTTTTCCAGATGCCCACCCCAACCGCGCAGCCGATGCAACCACCTCCTCCCGGCCAATTCGCCCCCAATTTTGCTGCCGCCGGACAGCGTGGGTCATCGATTTTTTATTTTTAAATAACGTCAGTTTTACGAGGTTCTACAAATTAATTTGTATAGATTTTAGTCAGCTAATGCATATCACGGGTTCATTAATATGTGAAAGTGCCACGGTCAGCATAGAAAAGCATGAAACATAATATCCAAATCTTTTTGTCGTTGTCAATTCGCTTTATGAAAATCTAAAACGAAGCGATCAAGGTAGTGGAAAACTTTAATTAAACGTTCAAGAATTTTTGAAAATTAAAAACTGAAAAATGTTTCGAAAAATAACCTAGAGCCCGCGAGGTGAGGACTTACTAATATGTAGAATAAATCTGGGGAGCTTCTAAATATGCAAATCTTGCCTGTAAGTTGGCTCAATTCGCACTTTTAAAACCAGGAGTTGCAGAAAAATGTTTTGAAAAATTTACCTGTTAGCCGCAGTGTTATCTTGTGAGCGAGAATGACTACGCTGCGCCAACGAAAATTTAATAAATTTTATGTTTCAAATGAGTAATTTTAAATTTTTTAAATAAATATGCTAGTTTGTCTACGCAATTCAACAATCCCTCAACATTCTGAATTATTTAGCTCAATTCTCCTCCCCTCAACCCCCATTGCCGGGACAGCCGAACCTGGCGGCAAACCCGTTTTTGCCGCAGCAGCCGCAGCAGCCAGCCCAACTACCAAGCCAGCAGTCACAGCTTCAGCAAAGTACGGTGTTAAAAATTAAGTTCAAGCTGATTTTAAAATTCCTACAACTCAAATGGTTCAAAAGTCTAAAATACTAAAAAAATTTTACAGAGCTAATTTTAACATGCATTTTAAAATTTAAATTCCCAGTTAGTTCTAATTACGATAATCTAACTAATAATGATATAATCCAACGACGATTATGATATGATAATATTCAGCGCTAGTTATTCATTAATAAGAAATACATACAAAACATATTTTTTCTAATATTTTAGTATGGTCGACGCCCACAGCGTGCTTTTAATGATCTGTAGATTTTTCTCGGGACTCCATTTTTGTTTGAAACATCATATTAAATTTTTGCAGAAATTTAATTTCGTATATGTAAATTTTTCAACCGGTTCTTACAAAAACATAGTTAAAGAAATCACGCTTATCAGTAGAGAATATAATGGCAACCGTCAAAAAACTTAGGTATCTATAATCTATGAAACGCATAGTTTTCAGAGAGCGGTTTCTTAATAAACTATTTCAGTGATGGCCACCGCTCAACCGTCTGCACCCTCCTCGGGGAATACGGTATCAATTTTTAAACTTCTCCATACTAAAAACTGCCTTACATCGAACCGTATTTGAAATAACCCAACATCACGGAAAACGTATTTTCATTAACTTCAAGTCAATTCAAGGAAAAAAAGATGTTTCTGATTACCGACCTTTCCGCGCTCCAGCTTTAGCCTTAATCATTCTTTGCACCGGGTGGAATAATCGTTCCGTATTTGTCTTTAGAATTCGGTATTTTCGGCGCTAGTCCTCGACTATCCTCTACTTTCTATTTAATTTTTTATTTTTTATTATATTTTTTTTTAATTTTTTTTTTTTTTTTTTATTTAAAAAAAAAAAAATAAAATTTTTTTTTTTTTTTTTTATTTTTTTTTTTTTATTTTTTTTTTTTTTAAAAATTTATTTTTTTTTTATTTTTTATTTTTTTTTTTTTTTTTTTTTTTTTTTTTTTTTTTTTTTTTTTTTTTTTTAAAAAAAAAAAATAAACGTGCTGAACAAAATAAGACATTATTTAATTAATTCCGACAATAACGATATGCTGCAATAAGTATAGGCCTTGCTTAAAAAAATAATCAATTCCGATTGGGCTAAAATTATAATGTTCTCATATTTTGATATGCAAATTTCAGGCGGGGAACTCGACTCTGGAGGCGTTTGGATGTGCTTTTGATTTTGTGACGAACACTTGCAAGGATGTGTTCGCATTAAAGTGAGTTTCAGCTGCTAACCAAGGTTAATTGTCTTTAAAAATAGTAAACTTGATTTAAAATTATTTGAAACTTATTTATAGTAAAATTTTCGGTATTTCTGGCTTTGATTTCGGAAAGTATTGTAGGAAGGGTAAGAAAGCGAGGAACAGAAGAACAAGACAAGAATTAGTGGAAGCCAGTCCTCATGAATTTCGAACATTTTTAAAACATTTTTCTGCAAAACAAAGCCTATTTTTGCATTATTTTATTACCATTTATACGTTAGAAATCAGCTACAGTTAAGGTCACTCGAAAATAGCAATTATATTTATTATAAAACTTCGTAACTACTTAACAATTTTATAAAGGAAATGTAAAAGATTTTTAGAAAAAAGATGTTGCATTTTTTTAGACCGTCTTAAATTTGTGAAAATTTGGTAGATTGGGAGGTGGTCGTAATGTTTCTATACTATTTTGACCATTCTTAAGCGCAACAAGCGCAAATTTTTTTTGTTAAATCTGTTTGAATCAAATAAATTCCCCCCGATAACGCAAAAGTACCATTTAAAATCCAGTAATTAAAATATATAAATTTCCCCCTTTTCAGCTGGTGCGGGCAGTGCCACGATTTCGGGAACCTGTTTGTGCACGACTGCAAATGTGTGCGGCCACTGTACGAGAATATCCCCCGGCAGCAGCAGCAACAAGTTCAACAAGTACAGCAGCAACAACAACAAGCTCAACAAGTCCAACAACAACAGCAACAACAACAGCAACAAGTTCAGCTGCAACAGCTCCCACCCCAACAGCCCCAAAGGGCCCTAACTTTCCAAAGACAATTGCAGCGGGGCAGGGCTTAGAAAATCTATTAAAATACTTTTAAAATACTAAAGTAATTAAGCTTAAAAGTGATTTTAAAGGCACCAGCAAGGCAAATCTATAAAAGAGAAATATGCCATTTAATAGAGCCGATAAATTCTGAATATGCCTTGTCCTTCAGATTTTTTGAAAGTTACAATATTGAAGAAAATTAAGAACATCTCATTATTTCCGGGAGGGGTTTTCTTTGGATCTAATTTTTCTAATATAAACAGAAAAATTTACACTGTGTTTTTCTATTCTTAAACGCTAAACTCGTAGAAAAAAATGCAAAAATATCGAATTTCGACCGAACTTTCTACAACGTCTGTTTTACTAAAACACTATTAAAATAATTCCATTAAATTCCTAATAATGATCCCCCACGATGATGCAAAAGAACCGCAAAATTTAATTTCTGAAGATGGCCGAATGCATCTGAGGGCACTAGCTAATTCGATATTTTAAATTTAGTGAATCATCATTTTGAAAATTCCGAAAATTCCTTTTGAAACTGCCTTTAAAATAAATTACCTAATAATGTACGAATTTAATGCCCTTTCTCAATCATTTAAAACTTTAACTAAGCTATATTGGCTATCAATTATTTTACTCTTTTTAACGAATCGCCCAGCCATTGCTCAACTTTTGACTCGTCTTTATACTTTTTTATGTATTCCGAAAAGTTCTTTTCAATTCGTCACTTCCTATATTCTTTCCCACCATTGCTGATCTCATTTTCTGTATGTATTTCTTGATAGTGTTAGCGAATAAAATATTTCTATTATCGACGGGAGGAACGAACAAGAATTGGTCAAGATAATATGCTGATTTCCTCATAAATTCTTGAAACATTTCTTCAGGAATCACTCGCTACTACTCGTAACCAAGGTTAACGAGGAAAGGAAAAGGGTACTTTCACATTATCGGGGGGGGATGTTTTCTTAGGATCCAGTTTTACAAATCTAAATAGCGAAAATATGGCTAAACTGTTTTTACTATTCCTAAATGTAAAACGAACAACGTTCTATTCAAGAAAAACAAAAATTATCGATTTCTGCGACCAGAATCGGCCGTTTTTCAACAATATTGATCTTTTTCATTTTTTTCAATTTTTTTTAAGTTTTTCTAGCTGAAATATAGTTACAGTTTCCTAAAAAGGCTGTTAAACGGCTTCCTTTTACGTTACTAGGCATTTCAAGGCTTATACAAAAAAATTAGCTCCCCCCGATAATTCCAAGGAGCCAGCAAAGTGGTTTTTGGCTTCGAGATTCGATATTACTACCGTATATCGGATTGATGTTCCTCGATTTTAACAATGTTTTGATTAGAAATAAATGTTGCAAAGATTTTGCTTAATGCATCAATTAGATGCTCGATGCAATGTAAAAAATGACGGGATGTTCCACGAAATCGATAGTTTTTGATCGAAATTTTCATGGAACATGTAATAACAGCTACTATGTTTCGTCTAAAAACCAAAACCAAGACGTTTTCTACCAGTTTCCATCTCCCGAGGTCACATTATGATCAAGGCACGCACAAATATGGGTGCGTGCATTACGGTATTACAGCACTTTTTAATGTGTTTGTTTATTTCTCGCGCTTTCCAAGGCTATTCCTGGCCGGAAAAAACCGGATTTTTGCCGGCGGAACAAAGTTTATAAAATGCATCCGAGTCGACCGGGTGGCTGGTCAGCCCAATAAATCATGTCGGTGATTATTGCTCTCCTTTTGATGGTATTTCTCCACCTGGAGATGGTAATGATAGAAGGACAGTAAGTTTTTGTGTTTAAAAGATAAAAAATACATGACTATATCCTACTATATTATATAAAAAAATAGTGTTTGTGTGTGTGTGTGTGCCACTTTGCATGCAACTTCCGTCATTATGTTCCAGTCGTATCTCGATAGGGGAGGAAGTCACGGGTATGTATGATACGCCAAAAGGTGCGTAATGGTCATGACACGACTGCACACATATCAGATTTTACAAAAAGTGCTATTTTCGACATTAAAATTAAGTTTTTATGAAAATCCAGGTCTCCCTCTTTGTTAGGAAACAATTTGCATGCGCCGGAAGTGGCGAAAGCCTATATAAAGGGACAGAAAGAGATGTTTTTCATTTTTCGGCATGGGTGATTCGTCAAAAATATGCAAAGTGCAGAATATCATCGGATCAGACAGGGCCAGGGTTGAAAAGTCGCGAAGCGGCTTTTCAACCCTGGTTCAAATTCTAAAAAATTTGTGAATTTCCAAAAAAATTATGTTTCAAATAAGTTAAAAAAAAAAACCCACAATTAGTCTCGTTGTTATTTTGCTGCCTTTGTATAGCCAAATGTCCCATTTTTTAAACCTATTCCAGCATTAAGTAATATCGTTATTAATTTTCATGAAATTTGCACATAATAGACGTAAATAGATTTTTAAACCGTATTTTAAATTTTCTTTTTATTCATTAAAAATTTGCTACGTGATTTTAATAAAACCATTTAGCAACTCAAAAATGTTCTGACACTATGCAAAAATACTTCCAGCTCGATTCCGATATACGCGCCGTTCTTCTCGCAGTCCGCCTCAAAACCGATGATGCCAATGATGCCGTTTTGGAAATGAGAATGATATGTTTCATATAAATTCATAGAAATTTACAAAAAACTTTTCGTAATAAAGACAAACAGACCAAAACCCCATAAATCTCCACTGTGCAAGGCAACTCTTTAAAAAGGTTAAAAAAATTAAATTACCCCCCCCCCCCCCCCCCCTCTCCCCCCCCCCCCCCCCCCCCCCCTCTCTTTCTCCCCCCCCCCCCCCCCCCCCCCCCCCCCCCCCCCCCCCCTTCCCCCCCCTCCTTTGTTTTATTTTAAAAAAACTTTCTTCATTACCACCCACTTTTTCCAAACCCCAAATATTTTTTTTTTTATATCTTTTCCTAAAAAATCTCTGCTAATTACCGTCTTCCTAAAAAACGTCTGCTAGTTATCCTATCTCACTCCAAGTTGATAATTTTTTAATTTTCGGGAAGTGCGGACCCGGGGCTAAAGGTATGTGAGCTTACACAGTATGGCTGGTCGGTCATAGAGGGGTGTCATTTTACATAGGAATGGGGGGAACGAACGGGCGATCTGACCCCGGGCTCTCACTGCCGATACTACATTTACATCCCCATCTTGAAAAGCAGGGCAGAATCTATCCAAATATTGAAATCATTAATTTGCTCGAATTGCTTGTTTATTAAAAAAACCGCATTTCATTTTTCGTGAAACACGACATTTAAAATCAGTTCCAATTTGTGTTGCTTTGTAAATGTCTAGGTTTTAATTTCAGAATTTGTATTCTTAATAACTATTTAGATGCCGTCCTATTAAATCCTACGGAAATTTTTTAGTTTTCGATAATGGAAAAAACCTAGAAAAAACGAAGATCGAATTGCCCGACCGCCGAAAAGAGCATACTCTAAATTTGATGAAACCCATCATTTTAACGTGGCCAATTTGTTGAGAATACTTCTTGATCCTTCAAGAATTTGCCAGAATTTAAAGTACAAGGCCTTTGCAAAAGAAATGTTTCGTTTTTGAAGTTAGAGTTAAAGTTAAAGTTCCGTCGCTTGTTGTCAAACCCATGCTTCAGAGATTATTATTATGCGGCACTACAATTCTTGCGTAATGCGTTTGATCAGCTTTCGTGACAGGCCTGCAAGATTTTAAGTATGCATTTTAAATCTTTTTAAAACTGTCTGAAATCATCGAAGCATTTTAAATACAGAAATTATATAAAAAATTATGTTTCATCCCTGCAACTGATGCTAGGTGGAATTTTTTAACTACTGTTAAGCTGGATAAGCCATCCTTCGATCTTACCAGTTTTTTAGTACCAATCTGTTCGCATTGCATGATGAAAAAAGGTGCTAAAAAATGAAATAAAAATATATATATAACAAAGAATAGATAAATAAAATCTTATAAATTCAATAACCATATATCTTTCTAATATAATTTATTTAATTAATACGTTTCCACATTTCAGGGATAATTTGAAAATGCAAAAGCCGTTTCGAAATACTACGACTACTTGTCTATTAATGCTTCTATCTATCGCCGATATTCCACGAATACGCGGCCAGCTGCTGAGCGGATGTCTCGATGGCGAGACGCAACACTACGATGGGGAAAGATGGATTCATAACGGCAATTTTCTTGTGGTTTGCAGCGAGGGGAAAATTAAGGTGGGTGGAGGATAAATTCTTCCAATTAAATTTATTAAAACCGGAATTAATCAATTTCAAACACATTAATTCTGAGGAAGTCCAAAGTAATCTTACTGAACCTGAAGCACAATTCAGGGTACACAAATTTTGTGAAGTACGGGTTTAGATAAAACAAATTTTTTGGAAATTTTTATAAAACTGAAATCGTTCATCGAATTGAAAAATCTTTAGCAAATACATAACAACGCGAGAGAGAAAGCGGGAGAGACAGAAAGAGAGTCAGACAGAGAGAGAGACCGCGCGAGAGAGAGACAGAGAGAAATAGAGCAACATTTTTCCCTCCGGGCACAAAATCGACATCAATTAAAGTAGAATTCAACCAAATGTCACATCTCCCTTAAAGGTACTGAAATGCATGACGGACGCGGGTACGGTACTTGAAGTTGGGACGGAAGGGCTTGTGGAAGACGGCGTCACATATTCATGCGTCGACGAACCGGACGAGCCGATGCACGACGGTACGTTTAGAAATTAACATGGTTTTTGTCAATAAATTCTAGATCCTACTATATATAAAATAGTGTCTGTGTGTGTGCCACTTTGCATGCAACTTCCGTCACCGTGTTCCAGCAATATCCCATGAAGGAGAGTAGTTAGGGGCATGTTTGTCGTCATTAGGAGCGTAATGGGCTGGAGATGACTGCACGCATATCAGATTTATCAATATAGCCTATTTTTGACATTAAATTTTAGTTTTTGTTGAAAAATCCGAGACCCTCTTTGTTAGGAATCAATTAGCCCACACCGGAAGCCCGGATAGCCTATATAAAGGAGCAGAGAGCGCATTTTTCACTTTTTTTCAGCATGGGTCGGGCCGAATTATGCAAAGTAAAAACTTTCATTGGTCCAAAACGGGGCCAGGGTTGAAAAGTCGCGAAGCGGCTTTTCAAGCCTGGTTTATTTATAAAATATTATTCAACAGGTTAAATTTAAATGCGTTGCATATTTTCGGCATTTTTGGGAAACAGCTAAAGGAGGGGGACGCCACACACGGGAAAAAATCGTTTCACGAAACAACCTTCAAACCCATGGAGGCAGTAGCTTACTGTCTGCTGGTTTGAGTACATCAAATTAAAATTAAAGGGCCCTGGAATGTTTATTCGTTTGCCGCATAATTTCTTCAGCAAACGCTGAGAATTCAGGGAAATTTTGGGGTTGCGAACCAAGACATGAACAGACGATTGACCACCAAATTTCGCGCTCACGGGTAATTTTGGGCGAAACATAATTTTGCAAAAAAGCCGAGCTTCAGAATTTTTCTAGCACTGTTCAAACGGTACTTTTTTGCATTATAAAACACTTATTAATTCACCACAAAGCTGAAAGAGGGCTTGTCAAAGAATTAAAATATCCCAGAATTCAAATTATAAATCCGGAATGGATCGGTATAAAAGTTTCACGGGTGCGAAATCATCGACGGATGATTGGAACAATATCGCGACCGGAAATAGTGGATTTTCATGAAACATCGTTTTTCAGAGGGCAGCGGCCTGGATCCGGAGCTTGGTGTACATTGCCAGGATGAGAATGACATGGTCGTCGACCACTTTTGGATTTGTTGCGTGGGAAAGAAGCTCAAAGTATCTTTTTCTTATTAAAGGGTTCACGCTGATAGCTCAAAATTGCAAAAAAAATCGTGATTAATTAAAGTGCCCCAAGTTATCGCAGATTTTAGTGTTTTTCTTTCTTTCTTTCTTATTTTCTTTAATTTAGTGAGCACCGATTACTAATCTCATATTTTCCGGAACTTGTAATAAAGTTGAAACATAAAATTCAAGGACCTATTAAAACTTCAAAGTATTAACGTTTGTCTTTTCAGGGCTGCGCCGACGATCGTGGAAACACACAAAAAACCGGACATTTCGTCGTGGGACAGGGGCTGTTAAAGTACTGTAACGTACACCCGTCAGGGCTACGCGGACGTATCGAGCCGAAAGGTGTGTTTCGTATTTTAACGATACCGGACTGAAATCCATAAATTTAATTGGGTCGCTTCTTCTCCTTCAAGTTTACGTAGAAACTGGTGTCAGGTGAGCACGATAATGAGCCCCAACATTGAAAATCGGCCAGGGACATCTTTGGATTTTAATAATCTTCGAAACATATTTGTAAATTGAATCCGGTCTTAATCCGGACAGGCCAAAATTCCACCAGACGAAAATCCCGACAGCCAAAGGTCCGACAATTAAAATACCGACAGACAAAGTCCCGCTAGGCCAAAATCCCGACACCCATAATGCCGACATACAAAATCCTCATGGCGAAAATCCCGACAACAAAAATCCGGGCAACCAAAATCCCGACAACCGTTATCCCGACATATTCATGACACCGGCTAAAGCCGCTTGCTTTTAAGCAGCAATTTAGAATGTCGGGATTATGATTTTTAAAATGTTTCATATATCAGCTAAAATTGGATCTTTTAAGCTCTTGCCATTATTCGAAAATCTCGTGGTTTCTTTTTTGAAAAATTTTGTTCGAATCTGGGCCCAGGAGACCTGAAAGTTCGATTTCAAAAACATAAAAGGTTTCCTTATAAAAATCGATAAAAGATAGCATCCAGCACCCAATTTCAGGTTGCTTTAACGGCACGGAATACGACGATCCGGACGACGAGCAGTTTCACGTCAAGAAATACGCCATCTGGAGGCAGGGCGATGTCGATTTGAGGTTTGCACAACGTTTTCGGAGCCAATTTTTATCCAAATCAAGCCAGGAATCTGCATGTATTAACGTCCTAGAATGTTTGCAGACAGATCTCATAATTGAAACATTCGGTTTTGAGTTTTCTCAAAAAAAGGCTCTCGGCTGTTTTTATAGGATTTTACCCAGGATTTGGATTCAAAAATATACTAAAAAGAACAATAAGCACAAAATATTCAAATTTCCAATTTTACAAGTCCAGCAAGCAAAAATTACAAAGAGATTAATTCTTTTTTAAAACAGGGTATTAAGAAAAGTTATTTAATGTAACCAAATTATTATGTCTCGATTTCTGTTATGAAATTGTACGCTTAGTTAAACTTGAGGTTCCATTTACAAATATAAAACAAGGCTTACGAAACTATTTAATCAAATAACTTTTTCTGACATTTTTTGGATGAAACATAACATTTTTTCAAATATTTTATTTATTTTTTAGCGCTTGGTTTTAGATATCCTGACGTTCAAAATCCACCTGGCTTAACGCAATCGATATCCATTTTTATCAAAAAATGGTGCAATAACGAAAAACTTCCAGATGCGGCGACCAGGGGATCGTCGTCTACAGGTGCTACGTCGACGGCAAGCAGTTGTACTTTGGAGCCGCGTGGATGGATAGCCATGGAGCGTTTCATATTTGTAAATGATCGTAAGATTCCTTGTAAATCGAAATAAATGATTAATGTCAGGGATACATTTGATCCTTATTAATGCAAGAAAAAGAGGAGGGGCACGGAAAAATTATGAAACACTCGTTACCGAAGCAATGCGGGCCGTGAATGATTTATATGGTAACCAGCGCCCAAAACCCGCTTCGCGGGCCTTGGGCGCTGGAATGCGGCCTTTGCATGAGAAATTTGACTTTCCGATAGCTTGGGTCCTTCGGACCCCTCCCTTCCTCCGACCACTCGCGCGCGTGCAACTTGCAAGAATGAGGAAATTTGTATTTTTTGGAATTATGCAAAGTAGCCCTCCCTGACGCCGGACACACACACACACAAAGATACGCGACCAAATTATATAAGGTAGGATTACCATGTAGTTTTCAAGCTCTACGCGCAAGCAAAGTGGATACAAATTGTGGCTCGATCTGCTTTTTTGCTGAAATCCAGATAACCCCCCCAGACAACCCCCCAGCCGACCTCCACCTATCGTAACTCAGCCGCCTGTTTATCTACAATTGTGTAAAGTATACCAAAATACTCGCGAGAGCACGACGAACATTTTGGTATACTTTACACACCTGTAGATGAACAGGGAGCCGAGATACAAAAGTTGGGTGCCGGCTGGGGGGAAGGTTAACTCAACTCGTACCCTGATCTCTGTGACACGAGAGAAAAAACTAACTTGATAAAATGAATGTTTCAAAGTAACCTGATTGCAGCAATAGGCCCAAAACCCGATCTGCATAAGAGAAAATGATAAAACATTTATTCGCAAAAAAAAGGTGTGGTGTTCAAAGAAGGGGGTGCTCAAATCCTGTTGGCGTCCCGGTTGAAGTTTTTGATGGACTCCGCGTACTTGTCGCCGGTGCGCTGCTGCAAAAAATGATTAAGAAACGCTTATATGGCAAGCCTGATATTTTTACACCTCCAATCTGAACCTTGCAAATACCCAAAACATTCTATTTTTCGGCCAAAACACGCCAATTCAGATTTTGGTGCTTTGCCATTATCGGAGGCGGGGCAATTTTTTCGTATACAATTTAGCCATACTTTCCATCGGAAAAATATTTTTAAAACTTTAAAATGTCAAATTTCAAGATTTTCGTTCGGCATTTTGGCTGAAAAATCGATCTTATTTGTATATGTAAATTTAGCAAAAGTTCTAAATCGGGAATAGTTACAAAACGGTGTTGATTTTTGTGTTTTTTTTTATGATCTAGATATTACTATTTTATTAATATCATTATTATTTATAATAGTTTTTATCGCTATTTTATATATTCGTCTCCCCACGATAACGCAAAAGCGCCCCCAATTTATACAACTCGGCTTACATAAATTAATTGATGGATCAAAAATTGCTAATCAATTGTAGCGATAAATTCAAAGGTGAAAATCAAAAAATGTTTCATCTAATGGCCAAATCAAATAGCCTGTTTTTAAGATAATGATGGTGGTTTGCTGGGCTTATTTTCAAAATGTCGAAATTCATAATGTCGAAACTCATAATGTCGAAATTCATAATGTCGAAATTTTGTAATGTCGAAATTCAGAATGTCGAAATTGCATAATGCCGAAATTTAAATAGGCTAAAATTCCCGGGAAGGTCCCCGAATTCTAGGCAAAAAATGTTGTCGTGAAATAAGATAAAAAAAATAGAATGTGGAAAATTTTTTTTGCTAGGATTTGGCGGTTTCACCGGTAATATTAGCCTATGTAAATTTCGATATTGCGAAATTTCGACATTGTGAATTTCGACATTATGAAATTTCGACATTATGATTTTCGACATTCTGATGCCAATTCGGTTTGATGTCTGGGCAATTATTTTTACGCAACATCAACCGACCAGGATGAACTCGAAGACGACCTGGATGATGAAGATGTACTGCGACTCGGTCTGGATGGAGGAGGCACGCGCGTTTCGCAACTCTTTGAACACGTCGAGCAGCTGGAATCGGCGTCTTTGCTACGAAGCCTAGGCTGATACCTTGAATGCAATTAAAAGCCCAGGAAAGGCAAAAAATACCCTTGCTGCTTGTCCCTTCAACAGCCTCGACACGATGCAGTCGACGGCGATGACCGTTCCCGTTCGGCCGATCCCCGCCGAGCAGTGCACCACGATTGTGCCTTGCTGAAAAGCGGAGTTTTTCGAGCTGGGGGTGAGATTACGCTGGCCCCCCTCAACGACAGTTGCGTTTTTTCTCCAAAAAATGTGTTTCATAAAACTTGAAAATTCTGAAAAATCGACGCGGCCCTAATATAGATCACTTTAAAGCCGTATATGATATCTAACGCATTTTCATAACGTTTTTAGCGGTTTTTGAATCTCGGAAATTCTCTCCTGTTAAAAATGTGGGAATTTTTACATTTTATTAGTTATTTTGGTTGTATTTTTGATCATCTATAAATTCAATTTTTATATACATAATTTTTGATCAGAAATTTCATTAGTTGCTATTTTTATGAGCTTTTCATATTTAAAAAAACATGAAAAATTATTTAGAAACCAGGGTTGAAAAACCGCTTCGCGGCTTTTCAACCCTGGCCCCGTCCAGGGCCGGTGAAAGTCCTAAATTTGCATGTTTCTTCCTGAATTCTAGCAAGAAAAAAGTGAAAAACGGCTCCTCTGTCCCTTTATATAGGCTCTTCCTACTTCCGGCGCATGCTAATTTCCCCTAACAAACAGGGTTTTACAAAAACCTATTTTTAATAGCGAAAACCACAATTTTTCAAAATTTTTATGTGTGTGCAGTCGATTCCGGACCATTCTAGACCTATTGTCGTTTCTTCCCTATCCAAAAAACCCTTTTCCGAGGCTGTAGGAGCGGAACATCCTAACGGAAGTGCATGCAAATATACACACACACACACAAACACTATTTTTTTATATATAGTAGGCTGCTGTACATTTCGTTATATAAATTTTCGTTACGGGATTACGGTGAAAAATCTATTTTCCCCGTTCAGCACAAAAATTCCTAGGCAACATTAGTATCTATGTTTCAAAAAATTTGCATGCGTTTCAAATTTCTTTTATTAAATTCGTTTCCAATTCGTTGATGCTACAAGTTGTTAGATAAATTAAATAGATCATAATATATTAAAATGTACGGCATTAAAGTGGATGAGCTTGAGGAGGCCGAGGAGGACGGCTGGCCGATCGGGAACACCACGGTCCGGCCACGTCGTCATGTGGATCAGCTGGAAAGCGCATTAAAATTGAAAATCAATTAAAATACAAAAATTTTAGTGAAACATTAAAATAATCAATGAAAAAAAACCTTGACAATCTGCGAGTTGGAGCACCCATCCGGCAACGCCTCCACGGTGTACACGTCGAAGCCGAGCTTGTCCTGGACAACCTGTAATAATTTTAATTAATTTTATAAATTTAAATTTAAATATACTTAAAATTAAGTTTTTTAGCAATTTAAAATTATTGTAAAAATTTCAGAATTGCAAGTATTTTATGAATTACGCTATTTTACGATGATTCGATTTCCATAAAAATAGTTAGGCAAATTTGTCTTGAAGAATTTTCATTATTCTCGCCTAAATTTTTAAATTCGCTGTTTTTCTTTAATTATTTTCTTTCAATTTTTAACGCTCTTCTTAACTTTCGAAGTTTTCTTTCCTTGAAATTAATATCAAGCGGTATTATGCAATGTAAAGAAGCTAGGCTGGAAAAATAATTTAATAAATCAAATTTTAAATTAAATTAAATCAAAAATTAAGTAAAAATTAATTCAACGATAGAAACTGCAATAAATAAATAAAGTAAAATCAAACGGAAAGCTACTTTAATTGGATACCTTCTTGGTACTGACGGCCATCCGGCCGTACGTCGTGAACTCGTTGATCTTCATCGGCCAATACTGCGCGCACTTGTGCTTCCCCGCCTCGATGAACTGCAAACAATCGATGTCGTTCGAAATAATGGAAAAATGTTGAATCCCGGCCAAGAAACCATTTTTGAAAAAAATTGAAACATTTTTTCGGGAATCTTCAGAAGAAATTTTTTTGTAATTTGACTGCTTCATCATTATTCTGCTTGTGTTGTCAACCCAGCGTTTGTATAAAAAAATTAAATGTTTCCGAAACAATAAATGTAAGTTTTTTCATAAGGTGATGTTTCACCAAATTGCCTATTTCACTTGCAAAAACTTGTCCTAATTTATCTAGACTTCCGGGGCGACTTAAAATGAAATCAAATAAGATTGGAATTCTACCACGTAAAAATCTCCTTTATTTTGTACGGGATCTGATTGCGGTGCTGTTCTGATTCCGGGGCTACGGTAGCTACAGCGCACTATTCGATTACGATAGCGACGCTGCGTTTCTGATTACAAAGCATACGCTATGCTCCGGATTACGGTGGCCCGACTAGACTCCGGCTTACGCGAGGTACAATCCAGCACGTTCTGGGGCTACGATCTCGACGTCACACCTTGAGCTTACTGTAGGTACGCTACGAACCAGATTACGCTATGTACTCTAGGTTCTGGCCTACGGTAGCTACTCTACAGTCCGTGGCCACGTTAGGTACGGACGATCTGGGGTCACGGTAACTACGCCACACCCCGAAGTGACTGTAGGTACGATACGCTCCAGTTTACGGCAGATACGCTACGTCCTGGCTTACGGTAGCTACACTACGCTCCGGGGGTTCAGTAGGTAGCGCACGTTTTAGGATTGCGGTAAGTACGGTACCTTACGCTACGGGCTAGTCCAAGTACTGTACGTTATGCTTCGAGTTACGTTAGCGCCCGTACGCGACACTAAAAGTTACAGTAGCGACGCTACAGTACGCTACACTACAATTTGCAGTAGATACCTGGCAGAGGGCGGCGATGACGGTGACGCCCTCCTGATGTACCATGCGCCAGTGGTCGCCGATCGTCTGCTCGAGGGGGCCCTGGAAAAAATTAATGTAAATTTTAAATTGAAAATACATATCAAAATTTACCTCATAAAAA